CATAAACCCCTAAATACCAAGCTGTGTTCCATAGCTCCCTCCCCAATGGCTCATATAGCTTATGATGCACCCAGGGGCTGGATGCAGCCAGTAAAGCTGGAGGTCGTAAAGTAGTCCTCAGGGCGTTGGCTTTCACAAAACAACCTGGGTTTCAAGGAATTGGGCCTTGCCCGAATTGCTGAAACCAGCAGTCTCGAGCCAGTCTCTGGCACTTGCTTACATGACCGGGTTTGACATTCAGGGTCTGGTTCAGGATTTATAAACCTACTCAACCCAAAGCCGCAACCCTAAAGCCCTCATGATCCCTAAGGTCCTACGGGCTCAATGAACATGCATGCTGAAAGGCCCACTTCTCTCCCTCACAACCTCACAGTATAGTGTGTGTGTATATATATATGTATATGTAACTATATGTGTAATGATCTATTATGTATAACACAGTACACGCGATTCTCTATGTATACATATATATATATACATATGTAAAGTTGTATATAGTTTTATACAGCAGTTATATGTCGTTATAAATATCAACAAATATAAATACATATATGTATGTATATATGTATGTATGTATGTATGCATGTATGTATGTATGTATGTATGTATGTATATGCTGCTTATATGCTCACACACACACATATATATATATAGATGACCCAAAGCCATCAGCCTGGTTCAGCCAAAGACTTTGGCTTCCTTGGCGTCTGGAGGGTTTCGGGGCGTTGGGCGTAGGGACGTCGAGTGTCGGGCTCTAGAGCCTTCCTTGCTTCATGGCTTTACGTTAAGGGACCTAGTTCATGGTTGGGATAGGATTGAAAATTTTCATGTTTCCTTATTGGGTTTAAGTACCCATATAAATGTAAAATGTTACCCAACTATGACAAAGGGACTCTGAGGCAACGTGTGTTGGTCATCGTGCAGGGCTTAGGGTAGGCCCATATACTCAACCCTCAAACCTAAGCGTACACCCAACACCCAGCCCCGGGGTGTCCCCGGCAAGCAGAAGCGGCGGGGAAGAAGAGACGACCATGCAGGGGCCATCCGGCAAAGTGGGCACCTCGAGGCAGACGTTGGGCAGCTAGGCGGTTTAGGGTTTTTGGGGTTTGTTTGAACTTGAAAGGTTTGCAAGGATTCTATTAAGGGCTTGTGGGTTCAGGGTTTAGGGGTTCAGTGGTTTAGCGCAGGCAGGGTTCAGTGCTTGCTGCTCAAAAGCGCAATCCGGGCTTACCGGACTCCACGTCTTGAGGCTTCTAACCATGCGCTTTACAGTTCGAAGTTTGGAATCGATGGCTGACTCCTCCCCGGAGGTTACTGTCAAAGCCTCCCCGAGTCCCCGAGCAGCATCTCAAAAAACACGCATGTAGGGAGCTTGACAAGGAGAATAGCGATACTGAACTGATTATTTGGCCCCGATATCGCAGCCACCGGAAAGGCTTCCGAAACAGCAGAAAATCCATCCTTGAAGACTTCAAAGCGCACTACTAAAGGAGCCTAAATCCTCAACCCAAAGACTGTACATTGCTCCCACCGAAGCCATGGCACCGCTTTGGTCACCTGGCACTGCTTCCAGGTGATGACCTTCGACGTCGCCGTCAGCTTCGTCAGGGGACCTCGTGGCGGAGCCCAGATGAAGAAATCACAGCTTTTCAATTTCAAGGGTTGCGTGATTCACCACCCCTCCCCTTCTTGGCACCAATTCGCAAGGGAGATAGGGCTCCTGTAGTCAAGGATCCTACTTTGCAGGGTCCATAGCAAGGCAACCCTGCACCCCAAACCTTCTAGACTCCTACTCCGCTGCATTTTCCCCCAAAGACTCCAATATCCCTTAACTAAGGAATCTTCCTTAAATTATAGTAGGATCCCTAATATGATTTTCAGGAATGTTCCTTAATTAGGGGATATTGGAGTCTCTGGGTTCTGAAGCACCCATGACCCTAAACCCCTAAACCCTAAACCCTCCATGCATCAAGCGACCATCGATGTGGAGCAGCTCTCGGACATGAGCAGCCACCTGGAGGGCTTCGGACATCTCAACAAAACCGAGTCTCGAAGTCCTTGGGGTGTTTAGGCTTCGGGTAATTAGGGCTTAGGGTAATTAGGGTAATTAGGGCTTAGGGTTCCATCTGTAAGTATGGTTGAACTTTCAGCTAGAGCGAACTGGAAGTGCAGTAATCCTAGCTTGAACTCTATTTACTCTGCCCTGATCCTTTGAGACCTCTTAGGCCCAAACCTCCCTCTGAATACAATAGCTGCACCTGCAACTCTAAGAGCGAAACTGCCCGAAACCAAAAGCCTGAAACCCCTTGTATAGTACCCATGCAGAGCTCTTTAACAAACCTTTCAAGAGAAACCTCCAAGACTTTTTGAACAGCCCCTTTCAGGAGCAATTTACCACAAAATACTCTGTAAATTAACTAAACACGCTAAACCCAACCCCTAACACTCACTCCACCCTAAAACACCGGAAGGAATCTGAGAGAACCCCGAAAGAGACTCTCTGGAACCCTACAAAACCCGAAGATTTAAAAACCCAAGCCCTGCAACCCAATAAGTCCTCCCTCCACAAGTCTTTGAAACTTTAAAATGAACTTGCTAGACACCTAAGTCCCACCGTATGGAAACCCAAAATGACCTCTCCAGAACCCTGAACCTTACTTTGCCTCCTTAAGTAGCCGGTCATCACGGCCGCTGTCGCGTGCATGGCGCTTCGCCCACCTCTCTCGCCGCTGGACTGCAAGAACTTGAAGTTTGCAGGGTTTCAGGGTTTGGGGGTTCAGGGTTTAGGGTTCAAGTTTTAGAGAGCTGCTTGTTGTTGTTATGAAGGGCTTAGGGGTCTTGATAGTGTACCGGGTTGATGTACGGTTGCTATGGTGTTTCATAGCGGTACAAATGAAGTTCTACGGGAGGGCCTTTGAGGATTTTATGGTTGCAATCTGGGGAGTTAAGTTTTGTGTTTTCGGTGGATTATAGGACTCCGGCTTTACGGATTCATTGTTCCAAGATGGGCGGTTAGCTTGTAATTGCTGTTGACAATGTCGAGGTTTCGAGATGTATGGGATGCTTCGAGTCTTGTGGCTTTACGGAACCTAGCCTCACATCCCTGAAACCCGAAACTGCGGTTGATGATATAGAACCCTGCATTAGCTTAGGGAGACCCTAAACTATGGGAATTATTGTACATTCCTTCATATGGGTAATGCAGGATTTACATCATCAGCAGTACCACTGAGCTCCGACGCTCCAGATCCTGCCGCCCTAACCCCAATGCCCCGAGACCTAACCAAGCTACTCCAGTGAGGTGTGCGCCACCACGGTCACAGCGCCAGGCCTTAGGCAGCACAGGGGAAGCTTTCTAGTCTGGGACGCCGCACCGGAGCTTTCACGGAAGCCTAAATAATAGGCTTCTGGTTACAACATGGTATGCTCATATGAAAGAGCCCTACAGAGAAGTATGAGTACTTATCCAGGCCCCCTTATTCATTGTTCTTGCCTTTGGGGAGCTCTTATCTCAAGACCTCAGCAATCAACCTGAATTTTCTCATGAAATCTGAGTTCGCAAGTTCCTTCCCTCTGATCCTACACCATAAACTCTAAAACACCCAAACTTTGTTTCGTTTCCTTACCCGGGAGCTCACGGTTTCTTCAGTTCGCGGGCTCGGATGCTTACAAGCAGTCGAACACTGGACTCGAACACAGTGTCTTTATTGTAAGCATAGCCCAATCCTACTCTTCCATATCTGGCTGTTTTGACAGACTTTGATTAGGTTGTAAGGTTCGATACAGGGGCTAGTATTCGTTGTAGCATTCCATGAGGGAGCCCTAAGCAATGGTTTTTGGCACAAGTTTTATCCCGCTATATCCGTATGTTGTGGGCACTTAGGGATTCAGCTCGTAAGTAGGAAACCCCTACGCACTAACGACATCGTCATTCCATGATTCAAATTTCCTCAACCTCAAAGCCGAAAATCCCCCCTCTAAACCCTATAACGTTAAACTCTGATCCCCGACCTTAAACCCGTAGAACACCAGTTCTTCCAAAAGCACTGGCGACTTGGGGCTTCCAGTCTCACTTGGGGGGCTGGGGACTGGGGACGTCGGAGTTCAGACTTTCACATTCTGGGTTGCGGGGTCTTAGAAGCTTCAAAGTGGATGTAGCATTTCGTTCGTTTCAGCTTCGCTGTTGGGTTTCAGTTCAAGGCATAACCAAAGACCCCGAAGCACGAGAAAACGTCTGCGTTGTGATGGTATCTCGGAAGGCTAAAACGGATTAAGGATCCGTCTGTGCTGCACGGGTTTGTTCCTGTTTGAAGAGAAATGGGCTCTCCCGTGTAGGGTTGCTACGTCGGCTCTTTAAAATTGCTCTCCTCCTCAGGCGCCAGCTTTGTGCCGCTGGCCACGGCCACCTTCCTCGACTGATAGCAAAGAAGGTGCACCACCTTCACAACGCTCAAGGGCGAGCAAGATGGAGTTAAGCGGCACGCCTATTGTTCTTCAGTTCTTCAAGTACAGGTTGCAAGGCAATGAAAGACAGGGGATAGACTTTCGGATTTGCGATCCGAAGAGTGTCGCCTGGCAGCCAATATGTCTTTCTTCCTATTTCATTTTGTGGACAGTTGTGCGTGTTCTTGTGTGCGGAAGCAGGAATTAGAGCAAAAAGGAATTAGGGCAAAACAGCTGAACGTGCCTGTTGTGCTTCTGAAACTGCGGAGTGTGACTACGACAGACAAAGTTACCGAGCTAGACGCGAACCCTCTCAGTTTCGGCTCCTGCAAAAACGCAGCGACGGACAGTTGTTTTTATGTTCGCCAATTCGAGCAGTGCTCCGCATTTTGCACAACTGGCAGTGTAGGATTCACGGCTCGGACTCAGCCCGCGCATCTCATGACAGCTGACCTGTACGTTGGATCCTTTTCGAAAGGTCTAACCCCAGTTGTATGACAGCTCACAAACGTGGGCACTGGGAAGCGACCCAGAAATCTGGATGGTGTTCTGCCTGTCTATCTGAATCGGGATCCTGTTTGACGGCGGTGTAGTAATTCCAGCATGGCCTGCTGCTCATTTGGAGGCAGCCTCCCAAGATTTGGCGACAGCCCCAAAATCGAGCGCAAAGGCTCTGGGCTCGGAGCGTGGCTGTAGGTCGGCTTGGAATCCCAATCTGACTCCCAAGGTGGCCTCTCCCCAGCACGGAATGAAGCATAAGTGTATGACTGGTTGAAGATGACCGTGATGGTCTGCCCATCGCTGAGGCCATTGTCCTTTACCGTGCTCTTTATGTCCAGAAGCTCTTCCCCGTCACGGATAAGCCTCACATAACCGCTGCTCTTAAACAGCATGTCTTTGACTCTCATCTTGACATCAGAGATGCGGTCCTGGAGGCTGACACGACAAGAAGTCGATCGTCCCGACGGCTGAAGAAGTTGGAGGGTGATTACTTTGTCCTTTTTATTCCAGGAATCCGCTTGAACGTCGTCGTCGTCCTCCTCCTCGTTGTCATCGTCGACGTACTGCTCTGACAAGTCTGACGGGGCCTGCGCCATCAGCTACATCGACATGCTTGTCGTCTCGAGGATACTCGAGCCCATCGGCACTTGCGGAACTCTGTACTGCCTACCCCTATCGCAAAGCAGAGTTGCCCTCTATTGCCCCCTCGTAGCTCTGCGGCACCCTCGCGAAGGTTCCTACGTGCGATTGGACTCCCACGTATGATACACAGAGTCGGGGAGATCGTTAAATGCTCATGGATACGTGTTGCTGTTGCATAACTCTCACGCCCAAGCACTTCACAGATACAGGGCCTCAGCCCTGTCAGAAACTTGTGCTCATCATGTGTCCTTGAAGGGAGGGTGACTACTGGAGACCACGTGTCGAGATGCCTGTCCTGGGAGAGGATAGCCTGCCGAAATTCCGAAGTCGATGATAGCAGCGCCTCTTCCGAAATCCTACAACCTGCAAGCACAGTGGCTCGACCTGACTACCCCAATGAGAACGGCCTCATCATCTACCAGCTTCCTGAGTCAGCGTTGTTTAAATGGCTTTCCGGACTTCAGGTAAATTGAAGTTACTGGTAGTGTGCTGCGGCTCATGGTCAAAGTTTATGATTTCCAAAGCCTACGCAGTAAATCCAAAACCCTATAATCTCTAAGCTCTAACCCGATGGTGTTCTAACTCTTGTAGTCTCTCCAAAGGAAAACCTATGAACAACTACCATTTGGGTAGCTCTCTACATTGGGATGCCGTTTTAACTCTCCTGTATAGTACGGCACCCCCTAAAAGGGATCCTAAGTTAGAGAACTACCCTAACTACCCGTATCGGAGTTTCCGAAAAGTAGGGGTACCTTATTTTGGGGTCCTTATAAAAAGGATCCTATTCTTTAAGGTGCTGTATTAGGGTCCCCTATTTTCGGAAACTCCCATAAAGCAGGCACTCCTGAAACCGGCAGCGGCATTCGGGCTTCGCAGAACTCACGGCTTTGTGCAGGCTTTACGAAGTACAATAGTAACCTTTAGGGTTCCTGAATATATCGTGGTATACTATACACGGAAACTCTGTTCTTACTAATTAATAAGGTCCATCAACTTGGTTTCTGGATGCTCCTTATCTCGCCGAACTTGCACTCAAAAACCAACTTCGATCATGTGCCTTGCAATACGACGTGGCAAGATCTGAGCAACATCTGAATGCAAAACCCTCGACCCTAAACCCTAAGCAAACCAAAGCATCGAACCCGCAAACTTCTACATACCTCTACTGGCTTCAGCGGTTTCGATCGTGGGGCCTGGGGCTTTGGATTTTGGGGATTTAGAGCTCAGTTCAGGGTTTAGGGCTTCACGAAGCTATGAAGGCTACAAGATCAGGGCCTGGCTCGTGGCAAAGGCCCTGATCAGCTCGAGCTGCTGAGGTCCATGGCCAATCAAGCCCTAAACCCTAAACCCCTAATCCTCCTAAGCCCTAAACCCTAAACGACTAATCCTCCTAAACCCTGAACCCTAAACCCTGAACCCCTAAACCCCTAATCCTCCTGAACCCTAAACTCTAAACCCCTAAACCCCTAATCCTCCTAAACCCTGAACCCTAAACCCCTAATCCTCCTAAACCCTAAACCCTAGTCCTCCTTTAGAGGGCTTGGGGCCTCAGGCTGGCCAGCAGACCCTACAACCCTCAACTCTGCACCGTAATCCCAAACCATCCCGAAACCCTACGCCCTGAACCCCAACATCCTCCGAGGCTCTCCCTTATAGTATGACTTATAGTAGCCCTTATAGACCCTTTATAAGCACCCTCTAAAGGAACCGTATTCCCAGAGTTTCCAATACTCCTTAATTAAGGAATATACCTTAAATTGTAGTAGGATCCTTAATATGATTTAAGGAATATTCCCTAATTAAGGGGTATTGGAGTCTCTGGGTTATTAAGGCCCCTACAATAGCATCATCCGAGGCTCTCCCTCATAGTATGCCTTATAGTAACCCTTATAGACCCTTTACAAGCACCCTCTAAAGGAACCCTACTGTTGATGGACAAAATTTTGCATGACCCATTATAAGGAATAAACCATAGTTCCCATAGTTTAGAGTCCTTACGGTCATGCAGGATTTTGTCCATCAGCAGTATTATTAAGGCCCCTACAATAACATCCCCTATTATTAAGGCCCTCACAATAACTCACTGGCCCAAAACCCAAGGAAATAAAAGTTGAAACTTTCAGAATCGACTACCTTACAAGAAGCCCAAAAGTTGAAAAGTTGAGTTTAAAGCCAATAAGAGAACATCATCGTAACATCATCCGAGGCTCTCTAGGCTGGTCGGCCCGAAGAAGCTTTCGCAGGCGGCTGCGCAGTCGCCAGGGAGAAAGAAAGCGAAAGACCAGCGGTGGTCATGCTGCACTGCCTGGGTTTAGGGTTTAGGGGGTAATACAGGGGCTCTAATAATTGGAATAGGGTTTTGGGGCTCAGTATACTATGCCTGGGGTAATACAGGGGCCTTAATAATAAGTTCAATAGGGTTTTGGGGCCCAGTATACTAGACTATGAGTGATAAGAAGCCCCCAAAATAGTATTGGTAATCATTCAGGCCCCTTATAGTAGGGCTCAAGGATTTTGTGTGTCGATGTGGGTTGCTCTGAGGATTGCTGCGTAGGATACGTTAAGGGCTACGAAGGCTGCCTGGTTACGGTTTAGATGTTTAGACTTTAGGAGGATCACATGCCGCATTACCTTAACCGGTTGAGGTTTAGAACCTTGGAGCTTAGGGCTGTCAGGGTCAAGGAGTCAAACGTGGTCGTTACGGACAGATCTCCCATAACCCTGGGGGACTTGGCATCTTAGAAAGAATAGGTGTTGCACTGGCTGGCTTTGCCCTGCCCCCGAAAAGAAAGGTCGAATAAATCCTAAACCCCAAACCCTAAACCCCAAAACCTAAACTAACCAATGGTGTTGGGGTTCCCTTGGCTCTTTAGCTCCTTATTAAGTAGGGATTTTCACCACCCTTGGCTCCGTAGCTCCTCCAATATCAATGGTTAGTAAACCCCTAAACCCTGAGCCCTAAACCCCAGATCCTAAGAAGCCCCACAGAAATCGCAGCTCCGACCCCGACAATTAGCAGGCCGCAACCCCAAAAGCCCAATGCCAAAACCTCGAAGCCGACTTCCCAACCCTAAATGCTAATATTACTACTTTTGTTGTTATTTTTCATTTTTGTTATCATTCCGATTACTACTACTTTTTAAACAAATTTTCCTTTTTGTTATTATTTTTCTAACTAGCTCAGGCTCTATAAACCCTGAAACCGAACCAGAGCAGTAGGGTACTTCAGCATTTCTGGAGCTTCGTCCCTGTGCTACTGGGGTTAGGCAAGAGCTCTGCTTCTTGTGGCAAACTTTTGGGGCTGCTCTGCTGTAACCCTAAACCCTAAACCCTAAACCGCTGTGATGGCTTATTTCCGGGGTGCTGGCTTTTGAGCTTTAGGGCTCTGAGGCTCTGGGGTTGGACTGCTTTCGAAACTTAGGGGTACCGTATTTTGGGGTCCTTATAATGAGGATCCTACTATTTAGGGTACTATATAAGGGTCCCTATTTGTGGAAGCCTCCATTTGAAGATCTTTTGTCCGGGCTTCCTGCGATGTCGGGATTCGGTTTTAACTTTCAGGGACTCGCCGCAAATCAAGAACCCAAAGGCCCGAAGGTCAAACCTGAAATCTTCTAGGAGCCGCTGTGGCAGTAGCCGCCTTTGGGCTTGGCCTTTATGGGATGTGAACGAAGGCATCAGTATGTTGGAGACTGTCAGAAAGTAGGACTACGATTTTTTTCAGACCCCATACTGCATCTTGATTATCATCTGTTTCTGAAGCTTGGCAGCACGCTCCGAGGTGGATTAGATTAGATGCGGCTTAGGGTTCGAGGAGAAAGGCTCATAAAGACATCGCACAAAGGGAACTATATAGCCCAAGCTGCCGTGAGCTGCTTATTCTGCTCAGGCTTCAGCATGCCCTCCCAGCTGCCTGGGATGGGTCCTAGAACCCTTGCTATGAAGAGATGCACACCACTGCCTGCTTAGCCCAGGCTTTCGCCAGCTGAACCGATCAAGGCGCATGACTTTTCAGCTTGTCGTTGTGTCGGAGCGGGGCAAGGGGCTCGAATCTTTGGGTCAGGCAGGTAGGTCCACGTTTTAGCACGGGAAGCAGAGAATCCTCAGGGGTGCAGTGTGCTTGCTGGGTTGAAGGGGTAACAACAGACAAAGAGCGGCAACGAGGAACAAAGCAGTAGTGGCATCTACAGAAACGGCACGTCTTAGAAACTATTCCCACTGCCGGACAGAGACCAAATCACCAACGCCCGCCTACTGCTAAGCTCTTGCACTTCGCGCAAGAACGCTGGCATTCTTATGGGTAGTTGTCAAAATTATTGTCCCCTTTTGGGTCCTTATAATATTACGGCACCTAATATTTAGGATACCCCAACAGGTGCCATAATTTTGACAACCACCCTTATGGAACAACCCTCAACCCAAAGCCTAGAATCTTACGTCGCGAGCCCAGCGACCGTGGATTTTGTTCAAATTGTCGCCACCTGACTTCGTGGCTTTGCTTCGGCTGAGGCACAGGGCTTGCGCTTTGGAGGGTCTAGGGTGTGGGGTTTGAACGTCTAGGGCTTGCGGGTTTTTGGCATCTAGGATTTCAAGGGTTCCTGGCTTTAGGGGTGTAGGACTGAGCGTCGTGGGCTCAATGGGCATACAGGATTCAAGCTGACTCTCTCTCTCTGCCTCACGCTCTCTCCGTATTCTACTAAGGCCCTACATTATAGTACCCTTATGGATCCCTTATAGTACCCTTATAGACCCCTTATAGCAACCCTTATAGATCCCTTATAGTAGCCCTTATAGACCCCTTGTAGTGCCCACTTAGATCCCTTATAGTAACCCTTATAGACTCTCTCTCTCTCTCTCTCTCTGGATGCTGCCCCCCGTCCAGCCCAGGGCCGAGCTCTGGGGCACCGCCGTTGCCCACCCCACGTGAACGACGCACCTAATATAGGGCCCTTGA